TATCCTCTTAACCTAATCACAGATTTAGCGACCAAAAACTGGATTAATCAATGTTCTTTATACACTCTCAAATGGTAAAAAATAGGATTACTCATATTTGGCACATACAATATTTAATGTATCTCATTCTTATACATTATCTAATTCACTACATAAACATAAGAATAGTAGAAGAATAGTAGTTTTTAGCATCTTAAAATTATCCAAACCAAATCATTCAGAAAGGGTTGTTTTTAAAATTAATAGTTTCATTTATGAGTAGTTGTTTATTGTTTTAAACTTAAGACTTACCTTTAGGAGTACTTGTTAAAAAAACCACTTATATCGACCTTCCAAACTAAACACTGATAGTAGTAGACTAGAATTAACCTAAGAAATTCTTACCTCACTTCTCTGTAGAATTGATACTGGGCTTTTAAAAAAAGTCTTATATTACTTGAAGTGATATGTGCACTTGCGTTGAACCACTAGTGTGTGAACTATTTTCTATATTTTATAACATTTCAAAATTATTGCTTAATTTTAGGACGGTTCAAGCTTTTGGCATTATTATCGGGATTTAAATTGATATAAAACACACAGAAAAACAACACACACAAGGGGCACATCACCAAGTCAACCTTACTTAATTCAGTTTAGATCTGATCAACCAAATCTTTGATTTGACCCAACCTTAGCTAAGTTGACTAGGACCCTACCTTAGGCTAGTTCAATCTAACACAAACTAAACTAAATATGATTAAATGTTAAGCAGGGCCTTTTTAAAAAAAGTCTCTTAATCTAAAGTAACGACAATCAAGGCAAACAAATGAAACCAAATCTAAACCAATTGACATAAAATTTTATAATTGAGCCTTAAATCGACCAACAAAAAATTTACCCTAAAAAGATACTAAAATTTAAACTCAAACCCAAAAATAGAACCTAGTTTGAGAGGATACTTTGGAGGAGGCAACCCATTGCTGCTAACACAGTATCCTCTAGTCACTTTCGACTAATCAAATAGCCAAAATTAATGGTCTGGGACGATGGAACCATGGGAACTTGATCGGATCATCCTAAAATAACAAAAATGAAAATATGACAAAAATTAATTGGCTAATAAATTGTAAACAACCCAAAATTTTCCTACCCCTAAAATCCGAAAAAGTCATTAAGACTTAAATGAAACCATAATGAACCAATATCATCGAATGCAACTTGAAACCCAGTGTTCGAATCTACAAATATCTCGTGGACATCACAATTTGTTGTTGCTGACAAGAATCTTTTGATCCTAGTTTAAATACCTTTTGAACTAAGTAGATCTAGATACCCTGATGAATGACCGAGCCATAGACATCTTAATCGGGTTTTCTAAAAATAAAAATTCAACAAACTAAATCTACAAATTAAAAATAGGATTTTGTATTAACTTTGTTTTGTAGGACTGCATAAGACATAAGACGGGTTGTGTTTTAGATTTACTATGCATGTTATTAAGATGTGCTAACTTTGTTTTGCAGGGACGACACTCTAGAGTTTGGAATGGTAAATCTTAAAAACTCTTGACATAAATGATAATGAAACAAAATAAAAATAAATAACAAAACAAAATAAAAGCCAAAGCAAAAACATGTGAAATAATAAACCAAATTCCTAGGGTAGTATCAAATGTTTAGGAATTTGCTATCTTTAGAACTAAATGATGAAAGTTCTTTACATAATGACATTTAAATTTTTTGAGAGTGAATGTTGACCTTAATTGGGGGTTTCTAGTTTTAATTGTCTAAGATGTAATAAACTATAAGAGTTAGCTCTTATAGAAGAATGAGAAAATTAGAATAGGTATCATACCTAAATCTCTGGTTGTGGGATACTTAGGTGGTTCTCCTTATATGAGTTTCTCAGGATTCAAATACACCAGAGTTTTCTCTACAATACTTACCACAATGAAGTTCTCCCTACACTTTTCTTTTATTTGTTTTCTATTCCCATTTTCTCATTTCATTTTGTCTACGAGTCTCTCATTATCTCAATATCATTTACATCATTTGAGAGAAAATATTAATATAAGAATAGGGCAATGTAATAGACAACAGAGCAAAAAGGCACATCTCATGTCAACACATTACCTACATAATCCTAACCAACTTTCCCTTTGATATTTTTGAGTTCTACCCTGGAGCCAATTACCTTTAGAAGGATTCCATAACATTATATCTTCTGCAAACTAATAGTAAAATATGCTTTTATTCTTCTAATAAGATGTTGTAGATACATTTGCTTAAGGACCCTTTACCTTTACATTCTTCTTAATTCTCTTCGGAGCTCATTATGTTGTCATTTGTCCTTCTATTTACATTATAAGTTGTTTTATTAATAAGAGCAAGTAAAAAATCAAAATTCAAAACTTAACAAAAAAAACTTCCATAGTTATGTATGCTACTAATGCATATATAATAGTTACTTTGAATCCTCTCGTAGCGGTGCAAGAATAATTTTATGGCATTTCCTTAACTCCTAAAGGCATTTTTGGGCTCTCATTTGGGAAGATGTTGTAACTTTACTATGAGTTAAATTATGATTGATCAATAATTGTCTAGTTCATAATCCTAATAAGTGGTCAACATTAACATTCAATGATTTTGGTTGCCTCTTTAAATCTTCTCAAATTTGCAATTTTATCCCAAGTTTTTTGAAATTCAATGTGTTATTTATTAAAGATTTTGATGTTTAAAAATATATAGCAATTAATAGGATACTATGGAATTAACTGATCAAATATAGATTTTGACACAATTTTCAAATCTTAAAGTACAAACGTATTTTTTACCAATATATTTTGTGGATTGATTTTGAGATTATTTAATTTTTTTTAAAAAAAATTATGAGAGAGGTAGTACAATTTAATGAGATGAATCCAAATATATGATGAACACAAATTTTAAATTTAGCAATTAGAAACTTAATTGAACACATATACCTTATAAAATTTTTTATGATTTTGTATGTTTAGTCTAAATGATTGTCTTGAATATATTAAACTCTACAATGATTTAATTCTCCATTCATTATGCCACTTATCTAATAAAATATTGAAAGATAGAAAGAATTATTATTAGATCATTAGATGGAGTGTATAAATTTTAATGAAGAAAATGAAATGACTAAAAAAAATTATTAGAATATTTCTTATTCCAACATAATTGATGACAAAAGTTTTGTGGAGTGAGCTTTTAGAACTTAAAAAAAATATAAAACTTTAATTGAGTTTTAAAATCTTAATCACCATCTTTGGCATTTTGCTTTTTAAATTATTCTCTCTGTCTCCTTATCCATTGATCTTCTCTTTATCAAGGAGTACAATCATGTTGACTATATGCTAGCACCTTACATTTAATGTTGATATTCATAACAATCATTGATCAAAATTGATTATTACGGCATATTTGCTATCACACTATATCGATTAAAAGTGATAGTTGCTTGCTACCGCTTATTAACTAATATTGAAATTCACCAATTATGTCACAAACGTTGAACTAATTTAATCTTTTGTCAATTTTAATGTTCATTGTGATGCAAATTGGTGAAGAGTGTCTTTTTACGACAAATATTTAAACTTTCACGGCCAGTCTCATTAGTTAGAGGAAATATTAAATAGCTAGATTTACCCTTTTAAAAATTTAAAATACCCGAATAAAGCTTTTCTCTATTAATTTACATTTAAGAAATAATAAAGTTGATGGTAGGAAAAGATTGATTCAAATTAGATGATTTCAAATAATAATTTGGTCAACCAACAAAGTGAATCAAGATTAAGGGTCTATTTAGGGTGCTACAGCTTTTTAAAAAGATGGTTGTATAGCTGTGATGGAGAAAGCAATTTATTAGAAAATTATGAGGAGAATTATAAATTTAAATCTTTTCTAAAAATCCAACAACTTTCTTGCAACCACCAAACTCTAACATGTCAGTTTGAAAAAAAAACAGTTTCCTACCACGGAAATTTCTAGGAAACAACAAGAAAGCAGTTCCATAAATAAAGTCGTGGTGGCGATCTAAAACGTAAAGTAGGTAGAAAGTTGTCTCAAACAAACCATTTTGATCATTAAATTTCTTAATCATAATCTAAAATTATATGCGTCGTGTGTGAGTTGTACCAAAATGTGTTGAGCTCAATCCATGTGCTTTGGCTTATATAACCATCACCCTATTTGCTTAAGAAAATTAAGCAGATTTAATTGCAAATACATGTACATCACATATTCATGATCTTAAAATCTAGGACATCGTAGTTACAGTTTAACCTCACAATCAATAAATTTATATAGTTTGTATACTATTAATTTATTTGAATTATCTTACTTTATAGATAATCATTGTTATAAATAGTTATAGTTCATTTTGTTTGTGTGAGCTCTCTTGTAAATGGTGGGGGGCTTTATTGTTTTATTTTGAATTTTATCAAATTTATTTATTTATTATAATAATATTTATTTTTTAAAATTTTACAAATATTTATTTTTATTATTATTATTATTATTATTATTATTATTATTATTATTAGTTGAGTGTGGGCATCAATTCCTAAAAAAATTATTGACATCACAAATTTGTTTAGCACTTTATGGGTAATTTTTTATCCATTCTTATTATCATCTTAAATAATGCATAAACTTTTTGAAAAATACAACTCATAAAATTTAAATTCTAATGAGAATCAAAGTTATTGAATATATTTTTAATGAATAATTTATTATAGAAGTAAATAAATAGATAATTTATTCAATTGTTTACTGATTACAAAAAAATTGGGATATTTGCATACATATCATCCAATTCCTATGTATTTACATATCTAACACCTAAATTTTGATTTCTACATTTATACCACTGAATTATTTCACATCACATAAAAACAGTATTATTTTAATTTTTAAAAGTTGAAATATATATTTTTATGGATGGACAAGTGCTATGTTTACATGGCTATAAAGTCACTTGAAGGAGCTCCCTTTCGTGCTGCGGAGGCATTGTTTCATCTGCGGCGTCTTTCTTCCATTCCAGAAAAACGTGGTGTGTTTTCTTCCTCCAAATCTCTAGATTTTCTTCTTCCCTCCATCGTTCGAATGCTCTGTATGTAATTATCTTTTTTATAATGCATCTTGATCGCTCTTCCATGTCGATCGGTGAGCAAGCTTGTAGTCTCGCTGCATTGATTCTGTTTGATGACGGTATCCCGATAACGGTATTCTCCTCTTATTCACATTTGCTTGTTTCTTTGATTACATGCTCAACAGCATAATACTCAGTCATTTATTTTTCCTTGTTCGGTGATTAATCAGGCGGAAAAGATCTCCACACTAATAAAATCTGTGAATATTTTGGTCAAATCTTTCTGGGCAACCCTGATCACAAAGCTTCTTGAGAAGAGAAGTGTTGATGACTTAATTCTTAGCATTGGATCAAGTTTGATTCCTTATTTTGATCCATCTTTTGATTTTCTGGCACACTCTCTGATTTTGTGTCGCATTGTTTCCCTTCACAAAAGATTGCTAATAAAATTAATTTTTTGTTTGAATTATTTTTAGGCAGAGGTGGTGCTGTTGTGGATGTGGCTGTGGCGACTTCGGCAGCTGGTGGTGGGGGCAGTGCTACACAAGAAGCTGCTCCTGCGGTTGAGAATAAGAAGGTACTTCTTGTGTTATGTTTCTTGACAATTTGTATCCTTGAGACTTTTAACACTAGGCCATGCAAGTTACTTACTTTTTCATGTTGTTTTAGGTTCTTCTGCAGGAGGAGCCCAAGGAAGAGAGTGATGAAGATATGAGTTTCAGTCTTTTTGATTAGATGACATCTTTTTTATTTAGGAATTTCATTATCATTGTGGTATTTTGAGCATCGAATATATATTTTGGTCTTGGCGACGAGAATATTCTGCTTGTTTCATTAATTTTTTTTTTATCTAATTGGACAGCTTTTGCGTCATGTTAACCTATATTATTGTTGCCCATTGTGAGGTTAAGGTTGTTTTTTGCCACCTTCCATTGCATGGTCATTATTGTAAGACTTATTCCTATTTTTTTCTTTGATTTATGAATCATCATTCTTCTTTCATTAATGTTTGGTATTGTTCAAGGTTGGCGAAAATTATATCACCAATTGTGTTGATTTTCTCAATTGAATGATCATAAGTTTCAAATTTCAATGAGGTACAGGCTTTGAAATAAAAAGACAAAAATGTCATAAAGTTGTGAAAATTTAAAAAATCGTAAACTTTATCCAAAACATATCCTTTCATGATGCTTTGATAGTTTCAGGTGAGGCTTCTTTGGTTAAAATGTCCGGTAAAAAAAAATGATAAACATGTTTTATTTCTTTATGATGTGGAATGTGCCTCCTTAGCGGCTTCTTGTCGATTGGCTTTAGTGGGAAAGTTCTTGTATGGTCATTCAAAACTTGAGCCAACTCGTCGGGATTTTGAGAATTTCAAGTTGAAAGGGGAATGGAAATTTGATTGCTTGATTGTCGCCATATTTTAATTTAACTCTCTAACGAAGATGATTATACTTAGCTTTGCGCTAGGAAAATTATGTGAATTGATAATGGGGTGATGAAGATCCTTAAGTAGTTCGTTGATTTTGGCCCTCAAACGGAGCCTCCAATTTTTCCTATTTGAATTAAATTTTCGGAATTAAAGCTACACCTCTATAATCATCAAGTCCTTCTCTAATTGGCAGTCATCTTTAGGAGACCCCTTAAGCTGGACTCCCCTACCTTTTCTATCATTAGGCCTGCTGCTGCTAGGGTGTCCTGGTAGAACAAGATATTACTCAATCTATTCCTGAGGAAATTTGGATAGGTTCTTCCCATAATACGTATTGGCAGAAAGTGGTTTTAAAACAACATCCTCCATACTGTTCCAATTGTATAATGTTTGTCCACTCTGATTCTCAATGTTATCACATACATCCGGAATTGAAGGTAAGTGAGACTAAAATGGGTGATATTTTTGCCTCCAAGCGTGCCAAAGCTTCCCCTCCCAATGAGGTGGTGGATGCTGAGGATGTCCAAAGGTGCCAAAGCTTCCCCTTCCACTTGATGTCTTTGTCTTTACATTTCTTTTTCTTTTCAATACTTTTTTTTTAAACCGGAAGGAATATCTCCTTGGTATGATCTTTCAAATTTTTTTTTACGTCATTTAAATTAGTTTCTATAATGTCAATTTTTGTCAAATTTCTTTTCATTAACTAATGTTTTTTTTTTTTTTATTCTCTTTAAAAGGGGATGCTTCACATGCAAATTGTTTATAGAATTCTTTGAATTATTTCTTTTCTAGAATTCTCTCTTTTAGGTTGTTTATTAAGTTTAATATCAGAGTATAATTTAAGGTCAGTATGAATACAGACATTAATCATTTTTTCATAAGTGAGATGTTAATAAATAATTTTATTTGTTTGTTAATTTCTAAGAATTTTCTTATCTCTTTCTACAAATAAATTAGGAAGTCCTTCGATAAATTTTTGTTTCCCATAAATATGATTTATTTTATGTAAATCATTACTCTTCAAAGAAAAATATATTTGTACCATCTAAAAATGTTTAAAAGTGGGACATTTTAATTTTTGTAATAATGATCTAATTTTTTCTCTTCTATCTTTATATGTTCTAGTAAAATGTTCTAAAGTATTAATAATTAAAAGATAAATAGTTTTAGTATTTAGAAGAGTGACATCTTCTAATTTTGTTTCACTTAAAAAAAAAAATTTTGTATTCTTCTGTCATAAAATTGCAGCCTTTTAGAATTTTGATAAACATACAAGTGATCATTTTGGCTATCTTAGAAGTCATATTTTGTCAAAATTATGTTATTGTAGAATATATTTACATTTATGGATAGTTTCTCTAACTTGTTGATCAGAAAATCCATCAATATTCTATTTATATACCTAGGAAGCATCATATTGTTGTTGGTATTTCAAAGCTTCTACTTGAAGAATATCCATTAATCATTATAATTATAATGATTAATGGTTTTCTATGGTATTTTAGTTTATTAAATTCTAAAGATGGTTGACTTTGGAGGGTATTTTAGAATTTTAAGGTTTTTTTCGATTTCATATTATGAGATTGATTTTTCATAAAATTCGGAGAAAGATATTTCATTTAAGGCTATAATATGTGTAGATTTAATTTTTGGTACTAATTCTTCAAGATTTTGTTTATTATGACAAAAATTATAATTAAATTAAGGGTTTGGTTGAATTGCTAGATTTTTTTTATTATAAGTTTAACTAGATTTTTTTTTATTATAAGTTTAATAATGGCATTAGTTTCTTTTATTAATTCTTTTAAATTAGGAATTTCATATTTTTTTAATTTTTTAATTGATAGTTTTATTTGGTCAATTTTATTTTCTAGTTGACTAAGATGGTCTGAGATAATTTGGAGCATGCTATTAAAAAATTTTAATTGTTTAACTATTATAATAAATTTTGTTAATGCTTGGCCTTCAATATTTATTTTTTCAAAAGCAGTTAGTTCCGAATTTTCATTATTTATTATAATACTAGATTTTGAAGGAGGATGAATAGAACTAACTGATTCTTCTTAATTATTTTTTTATGTTATAGTTATCATATTAAGTTTTATATTTCTTATATATGCTTTCGTAAATCAATTAGCAAAAGGAATAATAGCTTTTCTATTTGGATTTGTTTTAGTCATTGATATAAATTAAGTATTAGAAAATTCTTCTTTCTTTTTCTATTAGATTTTTTTCTAAACCATTTTTAGAAATTAGAATATTTAGGAGATAAATAATTATGGATCACAATGGCACGAGCTATACTTCGAGCTATACTTCCTATTTTGTAATTAATTCATTTAAAACTAAAGTTCATTTATGAAGGAGTGGGAGAAGAATTATCTCTAATTGAATGTAAAATTTGATGTGAATTTAATTGGACATTATTTATGGGTTCATTAATTATATCTTCATTTATCATTCTTTCGAAAATTGATACAGAAGATGAACGACTATGAGTCGATGGTATAGATCTTCTAACTAGTGATATCGATCTTCTAGGGTTATATCTTACTTTAACTTCTCCATTTGTAGTTTGAGTTATTTTTTAGTTAACAATTGGTTTAGGATTAACTCCCAATGGTATCACCCAGAGTATGGAAAAGCTACATCATTCCATTTAATAACAATATTTGTTGTTAAATTACAAGCAAGTAAATTAGTTTCAATTAAAGTGGTTCTATCTGTAGGTTGAGCTGTTTTATTTATGTTAGGACATAATGTATTCATTAATTTTAAATTAGATTCTATATATTAGGGCGTTTGTTTCAAATCCTTGCAAAAAATCATAACCATGCATTTGCATTTGTAATTTTGCTACTTCAAACAATTTATATATGTTGAATATAAGCTTAAATTTGGATATTTATTAAAATAAATTGGACCATGATATAAACTTGTTTCTAAAACTCCCATTAAAGATTAAGCCAAAATTAGACATGTGACATCTTTTAAGCAGGCAAGGATATAAGTATTTAATCCTCTTGAGGTTAACGGTTTGAATGTTATTTGAATCAGTCTTATATGAATATATTTATAATCTAGAAAATAAGTATTTGGATCTTCTCTAGATAATAATGGTATAACATTTTCAGTTCTATCTATAGTGTTTAATTATTCCATAATTTTAATAGATGATTTTCCTTTAAAGTCAAATGTTTTGATTTTATATAATGTAGATTTTTCTATTTTAGTAATTTTCCGTTTATTAAGTTCTTCTGTATTTAAAGGATATTCAATAATTTTGGAATTTTTTTTTAATTTTTTAATTTTTTGTAGAATATGAAGTTGATAAAATAGAATTAAAATGAGAACTAGATGTCATAAGAAAAAATAAGGGTATAAATGTAAAGTAAATTTAAAGCAATAGAGACGTTAACATAATAGAAATAAGTCTTCCATAGATTATAAGTTTATATCAAAATTTTTAAATAATTGAAAATAACATCTAGGCAACAATGTCGATAACAAATGTCGGCTATTTTTTTTTCAAAAATAAGATTTTAAAATTTATAATTTAATATAATATATATAATGTAATTTTAATTTTGTGAAAATGATATATATATATATATATATGAAAATGATGAGGCTGGATAGACCTCATATACCTCTCATCTCGAAGGACGAACATATCACTTATTAGTAGGCTTAACTATCTAAACTTAAGTTTATGACTCTATTTTAGTCTGTGAAATTTATAACCGACAAATTCCCCTATCTAATACACAGATTAGATAAGATTTAGATTAATCTGGGTTCTTAATTCCTTATAGAGGCAAGCCCCTATAATTAATTACATCTTAGACAACAGAAAACTTTCGATAATGATCAGAGGTTTCGTCTTCAAGAATTCAACGTTCAAGTTTCCACGATTGTTCATAGGAAAAGTCAAATGGGATAGGTTCAAATAGGAACAGTTATTTCTTGAATCAAAAAGAACGAAAAGTAAGAGATATCGAAGATACTAAAGAATATTCAGTGACATCTCAAACTAACCTATGGTTTGGCTTTACGTCTTTGAAAGAAAAATTATGTGATATTTCAGTCCTGTAAATTATTTAGTTATTCGGGTAGATATTCGGGACTTATGTCTGCATGTCATATGCAAATAGCCTAAGAAAATATGAGGATTTATATAGCATCAGAAGACAACCTCGAAAGCCTAAAAAGTTTAGGACTCATATCGTACGATATGAAATCGTAGAAAGTCCTAAAAGATAGTGTGAAAATTTACGTCGTGCAAGATGAACTACCTTGGCGTCCTATAGGTATGTTATTTAAATCTATCAAAATCCAGTCGAAGCTTTTTTCTGCCACCATCTGTCGTAGTCCCGATTGTTGTTCGGAGATGAATCGCTAATCGACAATGTCGTCATCTCATTCCAAGAAAAAGGGATAAAGAAAAGAGAAAACCATGCCTCGAACAATCTATCGTAGAGTTTTATACAAACATACTAGAAAGGTAGTAACTAAAGCATGAATACCAGTAAATGTATATAGTACAACAAAGAACAGACAAAGAGACTATGCAGAAAAATGTGGTAAGAAAAATGCATGGGATATGTATTGAAGTAGAGTACAGTACTGAATAAAAAGAAATATGCAGAAAATAAGTACAAAAATTAAATAAATAAAAGTGTACCTGATCAAATTTTGCTAAAGTTTCAAAACATATTGCAATTGTATGATATAAATGAGTTAGGTAAACATTTGCAGATATATAAATGAGTTAGGTAAACATTTGCAGATTATAAAAGAAAAGTTAAATGATTAACATATGAAAATCTCAAGATGGTTCAATTTGGGGATAGGCTCAAACTAGACCTCTTTTCCCTTTTTATCTCGATCCCACAGGCAATTGGTATATCAAAGTCAACCCATCAATATTAATTAGAGGTCACCAATGAATCACCTCTATGATCAGACAGTCTTAGACCCTATCGTTTAGTGAATATGTGAATGGAGTAGTATCTAAACTCATCTAAGTGTGGTGCATCTATACGTAATATGTAATATCTGAACTCATCGAAGTGTAGTGCATCTATACGTGATGTAGAATCTGAACTCATCAAAGTGTAATGCATATATACGTGATATGTAGTATCTGAACTCATTGAAGTGTAGTGCACATATACGTGATATGTAGTATCTAAATTTGTCAAAGTGTGGTGTATGTGTGGTATCTAGACTTTCAAAAGAAATGTAACAACTATTCTTGTGATATTTGTTATGTGAAATGTCTAGTGTATAGCGTATGATGTGTCACAAATGTAGTATCTGTCGTGTAGAGTGTTGTGTGTATCGGAATATTTACTGTGTAGTGTATGAAATGTGTTGTATGACATGTGGAGTGTATATGTGAGTGTTATTAAGTGTATGTATATTAATCTAATGCATGGTGCCTGTGGCGTGGTATTCGTCATTTTGTGGGTGTAGTACTGTGCAAAGCTTTGTAGTATTTGTTCTTTTCTAAATACCAATTCTCAGGCCTTTTTAAAGGGGTTAGAGTTGTCAACGATTTAGGTGTGAAAGGGCATCACACTAATTGAGTATTGATTTTTTTTAATTTTCAGCTATAAGAAGAGCTGAGTAATGATTTTTTGCATCATTGTCTGTTACCCCTCCTCTCGAACTAAT